CTATAGTAGCCGCAACCCAACAACGCACAAAATTATTTGTGTGCAGACTCTATTCAAAAGAGCGAGAACCCATCACAGTAGAACAACTTCACGAAGAAACGAAGAAAATTACCTTATCTTAAAAAATAACGGCTACCCACGAAACATCATCAAAAACTGCCCATCCCGTAGATCACCAGTTAAAAAGTCATCGACAGAAATCGACAAACGGATCATCCTACCGTGCATAAAGAATGCATAAGAAGTCACGATGATATTACTGAGAGGACTTGCAATGGGTGTTGCTCAATAAATTTCCTCCAAAAACTATTATGTAGGCCAAAGAATACAACAACCAAAGAAGACAAAATGAACATCATTTACGAGAGTAACTGCAGTAATTATGGTCAACACTACGTTGGACAAAGTGGTCCCTCTATTCACCTTCGACTACATGAACACCAACTGGCTACCAAACGTCACTACATTTCACCGCCCATTTCAATTCATATAAATAACTATGAACATGAGTTCAATTTTGACGATGTAGAAATTTTGGATAGGGAAACATAAAGAATATCAGAGAATTCCTAGAAGCTTGACATCATGTCCATCAGCAATTAATAGGTGTATAGACATAGGTTGTATCCATTATCCAATGAGGAAAGTGATAAACACAAAGGTCAGAGGTCAAGTAGAGGAATAGCCAACAAGAAAATGTATGGAGTCAGTGACACAACAATCAAAGGAAGTAACTAATCACAAACCAGTTCATCAGGGCAAGCTACTAAATTACGCATAGAGAGATACTGACAGGCCACTTCATACTGAAGTTGGCGCTGATGGTATCGTCTGGAAAGACGACAAAAGCTCCACGACTAAACAACCCGACTGACAGAACACAATACAACCAAGTTATGACTTTGTTTAAAATCTACTCTGCAAATGCTCACTATTAGTTACTTCCAATATTTAAAAAGTCTACCTATGGTTTATTTGTCTAGGAACTTGATTTCCATTCGATGGGTCACAGGTTACAAGATAATCCCATCTACCAAGGTTTCGGATAGCCTGATATTATCACTAGTCCTAACACAATAGATGTGCGTTATCACCTACTAAGCAAATGTGTACAAGATTGAAAAGTGAATTTCAATTACAGCTTTTTACTGAGGAAAAGACTCAAGTATTGTGGAGGGTTGTTAAAGATGGTGAATAAAACAATAATGAGAGATAAATTCAATTGTAAACAGTTCCAAATCTATCATCTATGGATGATGCTTATTATTCACTTTGAAATTTACCAAAAAAGACGCTGAATTTTGAAAAATGTTTTATTGCTGAGAGTTGAGTTTACTTTTAAACCATCAATAATAGAGAAAAGTATCTTTACAGAAAACCTTAGAATGATTGTTCAACCATAAAGAAAACTATAGACAATATTAACTTCAAAGTTATCAAAACGTTTCTAAGCATCAATTATGAAATAATCTTAAATTGTATTATCCAATTGTTCCTAGTTATGTGTATCTTTTATACAACCAAGTATGTATATATAATATGATATTTAGTAAGTTGATAAATAAGCAAAAGGATATTTCAGAATTCTAATAAATGTTTATGTACATACATATATGCTAGACATTAGGAACAAAAGACATTACTGACTGAACGATAAACGTAAGACTTGGTAGCCAATAATTTTTAAAAAATTGACTTATATGCAACAAACATTTATCTATTGCCAACTATTTAGTAGTTAGTTAGGCTAAGAAAAATGAAATCATCATGAACTTTCTATATTCGATTGTACAAAATAATGCACAACAGTAGATATTCAGTTATCAAGTCTATTAAAAGTAGTGTTGTTCACATACTTGTAACTTTCTGTTGCTATACAGGACTGAATCGCTTTACCTCTGTTGGCAGATGAGCTCTTATGAGTTTAGGATGGTGGATTTGAGTTTAAGTGGGGACAGTATCATTTACTGGGGTGGCGTTAGGTTCAGCTGGTTCATCTTAGATTCTACTGCTAGTCGCTAAGATGAAAACAACACGTATTAAAATTCTTTCAATAATTGTATACTATTCATATTTTTTTTGGATTATTATGCAAGAGTTTGCAGAAACCTATCGATCTCAAATTATTTTGACATAAAGGATTGACATCAGTTGAATAATTTCTGAGGATTTTGGAGCCTTGGAAAATGATTTAGTAATAACGAAGTCCTTTCCATACAATCTCATGGTTTTGGGATTGGTCATTCAAACTGTTGTGGCTCCACAATATTAAAAATTCTAAAGGGAGAACGAAACAGCTATTTATAGCTTCTGAGTATTCAGGATTTTTTCAACTAATGTCACTGTTTTAAGAGGCTATATCGTCTCAATGATCACTGAAATCAGACATATTATGACCTACTTCAAGAGGTACATTGAGCTTACATGAGGTAGCATACAGCCAAGCATAAGAAATATCGACTAGCACGTAGTATACAATCAAGTAATTTTTAGACAGGAGACAATACACTTAACTTCATGCGTTAGAGGCTATTAAGACCAATTTCATTAGTGAGTCTCCGTTTTCAATGAGAAATATATTATATGACTAGGCTAAATGAATAGTGAATACCTGCTTTGTACATACAAGTTCTAAGCTACACTTGATATATATGTGAATCTATGGTTGTATAATAATTTGTGAAACACAATTTCTAAATACTAAATAAGATTTTTTTTAAAAGAGTAAGTCAACTATGAACTTGAATTAAACATTAATAATCTATAATTTTATGCGTTAAATCAAATTTTATGTATACATTCATAAATTAGTTTAAAATGTGTCTAAGTGTTAGTACGGATTTCAAGAGATACTTTTCAGCAATCGTAAAAATACTGATTCCAGCGCCAGTAACATCACATATATCTAATAAATGTATAATGCATTTATGCAGTTATATAGGCTTCATAAAAACCAGCTATATAAATAGAGCATATATTCATAATACAAATTAAATAAACAAAAGGTTATGTGAAAAAAGAAAAAAATGGTTTATACGTAAACATATTGCAGAAAGCCAGCTTTAACTCTTCAGTTTATATTCAAATTGGGATAAAATAATTCAATACAGAATCATTTCCAGTAACTTGACAGTCAAGAATAAAGTAATGTGAGTGGAATCATGCTTTGATGTTTGAAGTGTTGAGTACTGGGTTCAAGTTTCAGTGGGAGCAACGTCATTCCACATGACGAGTCCTAAATAAGACGAGATGTGAGTCCTGGATTCCATAACTGAAACACAGGTTGGCATTCATCATAGACTGAAATCAATTACAGAAACATTGAGAATCTGTGAACAACTGTTTTGTCCTAGTATGGGGCCTTTCAGCTGTGCATACCCATGACCTCGCCAGAGATCGAATCAAGGGACTTATCAATCAGCATTAGGTAGTCAAGAGGGAATATCGTAAGGAGGAAATAATGAGCGGTGGAGCTTAAATTCAATGATGAAATATTGTCAACGTGACAGTGTAACAGTAATGAGGTCACTAGTGGTTTCTTTTCTGGTCGATCGCTCCATGCCTAACTTGGAAATCACAGCACTATATCTAGTTATCAGTCAAATACATTGTCTGTAGTAAGAAAACTGATTTTGATGCAAAACTTTTGAAAATCAATAACTATCATCACTTCGATATCAATTTCACCATGGAAGTTGAGAACAACTCAGAATTTCAATTCAATAATATTTTGTTGAAGAAAAGGAGTGACAGCCTTATAGAAAAAAAGGCAGTCTGTAAGAAATCAACGGGGAATGTAGAACATACTCATATTCAAATTTGAGTATCACCAAAAACAAGACTAACCTAATTCATTTGCTTTTCAAAAGAATAAAGAGAATTCGCACAGATAACATAAGAAAGAAGGAGGTGCAATACATTCGAAAATAGTTACATCTAGATTCATGACTAAATATATGAAGCTAAAATAGCGACAAGAATGAGTTCTTACAGTTCCTAAAATGATCTTATTCATTAATAAGAAATTCAAACGGGGACAGTACACGTAAGTTTCAAATTCCCATCAAAATCCTAGTGATATTTCACATCGATTGTTACTGATAATAATAATAATAATTTTCCTCAATCCACTAGTCATCACTATGATCGACTGAATAGTTTTCCTATACACCCAATGATTACTCAATCTGTTTCTACCTCTAAGAACATACCGTTTCGACGAACTGATGTTAGAGTATTAGTAGATAATTATTATTTTATTATTAGTCCCTTGGGTTCCTAGTGGAACATAGGGCTTCAGTAGCACGTCTCCACTCCACTCTGTTCTCTGAGATCTTTTGAACCTGGCTCCACGACAGCCCACAACCTCTCATTTCCTCCTCGCACGATCTCCTCCATGTCACCCTCGACACCAACACCAAACTCGTCGCTTCCCATGGGGATTCCACTCGAGGGCCTGACGCGTGATTTCCGCAGTCGGCCTTCTCAGTGCATGCCCAATCCATCTCCACTTCCTCCTGCATATTTATTGGGTGATAGGTTCTTGGTTGGTTCGTTCCCAACTAGTAGGTAATGGAAAAATTTATTTCCTGTATTATTATGTACGTGTTTTGAGTTTATTACAGATTCACTTAACCATAAATCTTTCATAATCTGAGTGAATGCGTTGATAACCTCAGGCACTACATGAATCCACAACCCTGGATATCCCAAATAGTGTTCACTTCAATTCAATACACTTGCGTCATTCATTTCTGCCTTCTAATATTACCAATTGGATAGAATTAATAACAGAAATGAGTGGAATTAAAACACACTGTCATGTCAACAGTTGGACCTCATAGCTAAATTGGTAGGCTACCGAACCAGTAACCTGGAGGTAGTCGGTTCGAATCCTCCAGCGGTCTTTGTCTTCAATTTGCCTTCAGTTATCACATAGTATCAATAATACAAGTCTGTCTCAGATAGTTATATTGACAAAAAATATTTTTTTGGCTTACCTGGCTGGTTTCAACACACGTTGTAGGTGTTCATTTAGTTTGTGTGTAGTTGCAATATTCACTGGTATACGAAGACGTTTAATCAGTGTATCAATATCAAAACTTGTATCCAATACCATATATGCACCATGTAAACCAGTTGCTTCAATTCCATGCGTAAAATCCTAATTGGTAATAATATAGAACCATAAGGAGAAAAGTAAGAATAATAACTTTCAATACACTGAGGAAACAAATTATTTACACTATATTACTTGCTATGCAGTAATAAAAAATGTACATAATTTAAGATAAACATATCTAACCTTTTTGAATAGTAAACTATGTCTTTCTTTTTATTAGTACCACAAAATTTCCCCTTTAAACTGTTTATCTAACTGCATACAATTGGTTCTCTATCTAAAGTGAAATTAGCAAAAGATACATAGTCTTTCAGAATAATCTAGTAAGTCAGTTAACTTTACTGCTGTTTCCGTTGATGGTATACATTAAGCTGTGACACTTAAATACTGATCATTCAACATCTGTACTGCAAAGAAACCTAGCCCATATTTACTTATGAATTCCGGATTGCGCTTAGCTATGTGACAGTGGACCTTCCGAGGTTTCCAAAATTTATGCAATCACCTCGACTACAAACTCATAATTACCATCAGTAGCTATTGTCTAGAACTTGAATTCCAAAGAGAAGACATTCCTCCAAGCGAAGGTAACCGGAAAGGCAGCATCAGATAGTAAGCTATCCATTTTTCGTGCCTTACGCGTGACTATTAATTTCTTACATTTTCATTTTGGGATCTGGACTGAACCAAGCATTTAGTTAGACTCTTCAGGTTTGGTTTAATTTCAAAGCGATGGACATAAATTATATTTCCGTAGCACTTTAAAATATAGAGGTTGAAGATGTTGACTCGTTGCAACTAACCCAGACTTGGAAGTCACATTGATTTCAGAGGTTAGAATACTTGGTTTGAAATGGGTAACTGAGTCACTGGACGTTCCTTTATCATGTTCATTTAGGATCACTTTTCAAGGACTGATAGAAATATTCTCTGGATGAATGTTTGTCTTCCAAAGACTTAGTCCTTTATTAGGCTTTTATGTAAAGGTGGACAGCACACTGCCAAGGGTTGAGATGGCAATAGATTGGATATGCTATTTTATTTGTATATAAGCATCAATCTTCATTCAGATATCTACCGCAACTGGTTTGTTAGTAGTAGTGTTTTTCTCTAAACAAAGACTGCAGCAGAACAATGTACACAATTCATGATTTGTCAGGGTCAATGAAATGAGTGTGCTTTGTTTATTCAAAGCTAAATAGTTGAAATCTGTTAAAATAGATAAGCAGTGAAACATATTCGGTAAAATAAAAACAATATGAACTGTTTGCATGAAAAAAAATTTCGAATGTTAGGAGCGAATATGAAGCTGGAGCACAGTATCATACTGAGGTTATTCGGTATGCGAAGCACATGTCTATATTGACGTGTAACGAAACAAGAAGTTGGATCAGCTTGAAAGAGGGATCAGGGTGGCCAGAACAAGACGCTAAACCAACCAACGAAGCCTACGGCTAATGGTCTCAACCGTGTAGGCAGATATAGTCTACCCAGCTCGAGTACCCAAGACGACAGCAATTTGTATTTGAAGACTCGCGGTAACATGGCTGAAAATTTGTCACAGTGGCGCCGATGTATTCAATTCTTCACGTCTTCTAAAGCTCTAATGTTTTCAGCGGTTTGATGTCACCTTCTGTTGATCCACTTGTTCTTTTTGTACTAAAGTGAAGTATGATAATTTTAGGAATTAAAAGGATTATGCGTGAGCTTCTATGTTGATTTTATCCATTTTCGTTTAGTTTTACCGTAAAACTAGACCATTGAAGTTTAGAAACTTATTATTATTAATCGTCACTTAGATTCCTAGTGGAACATATGGATTCACAAGCACATCGCCATCTCACTCTCTTCTATCCACTCATTCTCTTCATCCTACTTCAATAACTCCCAACAACCTTTCACTTCTTACTCACACCATCTCCTCCATGTCACCCTCGCACACCCAACTCATCGTTTCCCATATCGGCTCGACTCGATGACACGGCCTATCGCGTGATGTCCACAATCCATCTCCTCACTCTATGTCCAATACAATCCATCTCCTCTTCATTCTGCATATTGGTTGGGCAATGAATAGGTTATCGGTTGGTTGGTTGGTTGGTTCGTTGACAGTCAGAGTTTCACTGCTGCTCACTCTTATTAATTCCACCCTGTGATCTGATCTTCAGTATCGAGTGAGCGTAGACGGCAGCTATTGATGCTATTTGTTTACAGTCTGTTGCATATGCTTTACGTAACATGCCAAGTCTCTCAAACATCACATAGAAGCACTGCTTCACTTGACTGAATTACTGTTGAAAATCCACACCTCGTTCACGCTCTATTCTGAGTGCAATGCAATGCAGTGCAGTGCAGTGCAGTGCAGTGCAGTGCAGTTGATCTCCACACTGATTTCAGACTGATGAAGGATGGCCTGTCTTACTGTCTTTACGATCCTGGTATTGATATCGTCATCGGCGCCACTGCCATCGCCTGTAGTTGAAACGATGCTGACTAGGTGGATGGGTAGGTAGGTAGGTAGGTAGGTAGGTCAGTGTGAGAGTCAACTTCCTATACATTTCTCCCGTTCATGGTGATTGGTGTTTATTGTTGTTGCTATTGTTGACTGGGAATCTTCATCACCCTTGTCTTCTCTACGCTCACCTGAACGAAGTGTCATCTTCCCTCTCTGCCATGCCTCTTCTGTCAACTTGTTGGTTTTTGCCTGTAGATCTTTGAGTTTGTGAGACTATACATTGGATATAAATCATCGACAGTGAAATTCAAATCTTCTAGGATCTTTTCATTGATCAAACAGTGTATGTCCCTCTTCTCTCTCTTCACTATTTGTTGCATCATCCAGTCCACAACAATCAGCAAAATTCTCAATGGAAGTTTTTGAAATACAACACATTTTTTATCCATCTCATTTTCATGTTTATATCTGCTTCCCCATTATAGTTTGCTGTACACTATCGTTTCTATAAAGACAATTCTAGTGTCACAAACTGAAATTTTATGAAAAGGTGATAATTTTGTTCGGTAGATGATAGAACCGTTATCTTGAAGATCATTGTTATACAAATCATGTCGTTCTTTAGATTATCTTTTTCTTCGAATTCACTTGAAAATTATCAATGAAAATAGGATTTGTCGAATTCCTTTAATACAATAATCATCATATATCCAAGGTTTATAACCTAAAATCTCTTTATCAATACTCTAATAGATCGTAATTCTTTTTATTCAATATTTTAAGGGATATAAATATAACTTTCATACTGTTTTATTGATCTGCCCACCCAAGTTGTTTATGTAGAGGTAAAAAAAAAAACTTTGACCAAGTCGATTAAATTCACCATCTATTCTATACAAATCATCATTATTTATTTGCTCTAAAGAATATGAAACTTTTTTCAATAATGAGAAAATAAACAGAATGCATTCAAAAATACTTAAAAAATCTTCCTTTTCATTTCATAGCGAAATATTTAAAGTGTATGATTCTTTAAGCGAATTCAAGAAAAAAAAGGCAAACTTTTATCGCAAGCTTATATCATTTGCGTAGAATAGGAAATGTTAGATGAAGTCAAAAACAGAAACAGGAAAACAAATGGTAAGATGATAAACTGTCTGATAAGATGAAGAGAAAATGAAGACTGGAATTAACGTTCAATAACTTTCAGTGATTATGCTGAAACAATTCATCTTCAGTCTATTTTTATTTCAGTAGAATGAATAAATGAGTTTTTGCAAAAGAAACAAATTGTTTTGCCATTGAAATCGAGAAAATCTAATGGAAGTCTTGGGTATCTCTAGAGGGATCAGATTTATGGGTTTCAGATACATACTGGTAGTAAACGCCAGTAATCACAAAACTGAGGTGAATAACCATCTTAATATCAGAAACTCCACAGTAAAGCATACTTATGACCCCGCCAGTCAGAGATCTAACTTCGGATCTTCAGCATCCGTGACCAGCACGTAACCATTCAGCCAGTGGGTCGGAATCCGGTGGTTCATATTACCAACTTCCAATGGTTCATGAAATAGCGTGACCATCACCCAATGTTATCGTTGAGTGGCCGTCAGGTTTACAACACCGGTCACGACTTCTTATTGAACTTTCAGGAATCAACTCTTGAAATTAGTCACCAGTGAGCAAAATGACACTGGGTGATGGTCGCGCTATGTCGGAAACTGACAGAAGTTGGAAGCATGGACCATTAGATTCCGACCTTGTGACTTAGTGGTAAGCGCTGGCCATGGAACCTGCAGGTTTTGGGTTCGATCGCTGGTGAGGCAGGGTCATAGGTGTGGACTCCGAGGAGTCACATAGCAGGACCAGATAGCTGTCCAATGCTCCCAAGTTTTCAATGTTCCGCCAACTGATGTCGGTCCATGATGAATATCAACTTGAAAAAAAATTGAGCTCACTTTATCCTGCTTTGTTTGTTAATTTTTTTGCGTTGTTCAAATTAACAATATATATTTCTTGAGGGAGTTGTAGAGACTTGGAAATATTTCAAGTTGTTATGCATCGTAGTAATTCACAATGGAAAGCTCACTGATGTTTTTGAAGTGAAGACAGGAGTGAAACAAGGTTGCCTACTATCCCCCCATGATATTCCTGATTGTGGTCGACTGGATCATGCAGCAAACAGTAGGCAGCGAGAAGAGGGGGATACACTGGACGACGGAAAAGAACCTAGAAGACTTGGATTTCGCCAACGATGACTTGTGCCTAATGTCACACAAACTTGAAGATCTTCAGGCAAAAACTAACAAGTTGATAGAAGAGGCAGCGAAGACGGGACTTCAAGTGAATATAGAGAAGACAGAAGTGATGAAGATACCGCACCACCACCATCAACAATAACAAACTCCAATCACCGTCAACGGGAGAAACTTAAAGGAAGTAACCTCCTTCACCCATCTAGGAAGCACTGTTTCAGCTACAGGCGGGACGGACGAGGACGTCAAAGTCAGAATCGGAAAAGCAAGACAGGCGTTCATCAGCCTGAAACCAGTGTGGAGATCTTCTGCACTCAGCATGCGGAACAAGATACAGATTTTCAACACCAACGTCAAGTCAGTGCTCCTGTATGGTTCAGAGACTTGGCGCGTCACGAAAGGCATTTCCAATAAACTACAGACATTCATCAACAACTGCTTATGCTCGCTACTGAAGATCAAATGACCAGAAAGAATAAGCAACAAGGAACTCTGGGAACGAACCAACCAAGAACCTATCACCCAACAAATATGCAGGAGGAAGTGGAGATGGATTGGCCATGCACGGAGAAGGCCGACTGAGGACATCACGCGTCAGGCCAGTGCCACGAGTGGAATCCCCATGGGAAGCGACGAGTTTGGTGTTGGTGTCGAGGGTGACATGGAGGAGATCGTGCGAGGAGGAAATGAGAGGTTGTGGGCTGTCGTGGAGCCAGGTTCAAAAGATCTCAGAGAACAGAGTGGAGTGGAGACGTGCTACTGAAGCCCTATGTTCCACTAGGAACCCAAGGGACTAATAATAATAATAATGCATCGTAGACTGACATCAGTTGGAGGAACGGAAGAAACCTGGGAGCACTGGACAGCTGTCTCAACCTAGTGTGGGACTTCTCAGCAGTGAGCAACCACGATCCCTCCAGGGATCGAACCCGCGGCCTTCAGGTTCCGTGATCAGCACGTTACCATTGAGCCACTGGGTCAGAATCCAATGGTCCGTATTCCCAACTTCTGTTAGCTCACAGATTATATCAGAATTAGTGAATAAATCAGCTTCAGATAACAGTTAATCACTTTTTGTGATTACCATTACTATTGAAACGTTTTACTGAACTATGGAATAAAGGCATTTGCAACAAACAACAGACGTTCACCAAGTGCTGCCGTCTACGCTCACTCGATACTGAAGATCAGATCACAGGGTGGAATTAATAAGAGTGAGCAGCAGTGAAACTCTGACTGTCAACGAACCAACCAACCAACCAACCGATAACCTATTCATTGCCCAACCAATATGCAGAATGAAGAGGAGATGGATTGTATTGGACATAGAGTGAGAAGATGGATTGTGGACATCACACGGTAGGCCGTGTCATTGAGTCGAGCTGATATGGGAAACGATGAGTTGGGTGTGCGAGGGTGACATGGAGGAGATGGTGTGAGTAAGAAGTGAAAGGTTGTTGGGAGTTATTGAAGTAGGATGAAGAGAATGAGTGGATAGAAGAGAGTGAGATGGCGATATGCTTGTGAATCCATATGTTCTACTAGGAATCTAAGTGACAAATAATAACAATAATGACATTTTTTAAAATGGTTCAAATAAAAAATGTAGCTTACCTTCAGACCTAAATCGCATAACCATTTACTGATATGATCATTTGTCCAGTATAATAGATCTAGTTCAATAGGATCTGTTTTAGTACGAATTTTCTCGATAGACTAATTTCCAAGTAAAGTAAAAAAAGAAAAAAGGTTGATTACAAGTTGGTGTTGATCACGGAGTGATATCAGTTGAAGGAACATTGGAAACTTGGAAGCACTTGACACTTGTTTCATCCTAGTATAGGATTCATTGTCTCTGCACATCCATGACGACAACTCGCTAACGGGTTGAACCTAGGACCTTCAGGCTCCATGATCAGCACTTTACAATTGAGCCTCTAAGTCATAATTCATTGGTCCATACTTCCAACTTCTGTTAATTTATGATATAGCGCCATCATTACCCATTTTCATCGTTGAGCATTTATCCTCATGGCCACCAAGTTTGCCACACCGGCCACAACTTCATATTGAACTTTCAGGAATAATCTATAGAAATTAGTCATCAATTAACACTAGTTCGGTTGAATTTGGAGGTTTGTGAGGATTTATTGACAACTCATGAATGACAGAATTGATTGTTTACAAGGAAACATCAGAAATTTATGAATACTTTGAGGAAACAATTGTTTTTTCTACTTTTCAAAACAAATGTTGACTTAACCTTTAATCAAGGGATACAATGGTGATAAAAGTGAGACTACAAATCATTGTGTAATTAGTATCCTGGCAGTTCAAAACGTTGTGCTATGACTTATTACTGATTTGCATACAAAATGAAGAAATATTTCGATAAATCTGAACAAGAGTATGAATAGACTGGTGGAAATGTGTGGATGTGTGCAAATTAGTAGTAAGGTATCTATTTAATTCTGGCAGTGTATGAATACTATTGATAAAGGACGTCCACTTAATTCAGGGTGTTATTCTATCCTGACAGAACAGCAAAGCTCAGAGAATACTAAACCAATATCATAAAGGGTTAGATTTGATGGTGTCTTGGAGTGGAACCTAGAATGTGTGTCTACATCTCAATAAGTGATGGTGTTCAAAATGAAACTTAGATCTATCAAACATCGCTTAAGATATCATAACATTATCCACTAGGCTATAGAGTGATGATAGCCACCTTCTGTGGAACCAGTACCAGGTATTGACAATTGTAATTTCCCATGGTTTTAAGGGATGTCGAAGTGGAGAACCTCCGTTATTATATGTTCTAGCACATGATACAACTTTATGACCACCATGGAATTACAGCTATCAAGAAATAATAACCAGTTTTCTGGAATGGCTTAAATAGATTTATTTATAATTGACAGTAAAACAATCAAAAGAAAAGCAAATGAAGAGTTTTTTTAACCGTGAAAGCTCCTCAAACAAAGAATATGTAGATTTTAGTCGTTACAATTCTCATGATAAAACCAGTATTGACCGACAACAGTGTACACTGAGATCTCAAGCGGCTAAATTGCTTTTACAGGCATTAGTTAATCTTCATTTTTTATAGTAATCTTCTCTAACTCCTAATACCGCAGGCAATCCGTGAACATCTCTTTATTGCACTGGAAGTTAATTTGACTACTTTCACATCAAATTGAAGCTACTGCTTGGACATACGCAATCAGCATTGAATGTTTTTAAGTTATTGTCTCCTTGAACGATGCATTATAGTATAAATCTACATTATACTAACTGAATGAAAGAAAGATGAGCTAGTTTACCAGACTGTTTAGGTTTCGCACTATGAGATCAGCTGTTTTATTGTCATCATACACATATACATTAGGAGACTATTGAATTTTCGATAGAATACACGTGTTATAACATGCCAAGAGATCAAGTACAACTTAAAAATTACTGAAAGCCGGGAAAGCAGCAGATGGAATTTCCCCAGAAGTAGTGGAAAAAAACGCAGAGACATCAGCGGACATGCTCACACCATTATTGCGAGAGGTTTGGAAGGAAGGAAGGAAAGGAACCTGCCGATCGGAAGAAGGACTACCTTGTCAAACTCTCAAAGAAAGGACACCTAAGTCTTTTCAAGAACTGGCGCGGAATCATGCATCTGTCCACCCAAAATATTAGGCTGCATCATCCTGGAGAGACAAAAATGCTCTGGACTCAACTGGATTACGACCGGAACAGGCTGGCTGGCTGGCTTGAGGAAGAACAAATCACGTGTGGATCAAATTGAAACGCTACGCTACGCATCATCATAGAACAGAACAAAAAATGGCAGTCAATTTTCTACCTCAACTTAATCGACTTTGGAACGGCCTTTGGTAGCGTCGATGGGGAAGTAATTTGACAGATGCTTCAACACTACGGAGTGCCACAGACCTTCATCAACCTCATTCAACAGCATCTATATGCTATGTGATACTACATGCCAAGTGCTTCAGAATGTAAAGCTCAGTGATACTTGTGAAGTGAGGACATGAAAAAGACAAAAAAAAGATTGACTACAATCACAGATAGTCTTCCTGATTGTGGTGGACTGGATGATGCAACAAACTGTGAAGAGAGAGGAGAGGGGCATACACTATTTGATCAATGAAAAGATCCTAGAAGATTTGAATTTCACCGACGATGATTTATATCCAATGTATAGTCTCACAAACTCAAAGATCTACAGGCAAAAACCAACAAGTTGACAGAAGAGGCATGGCAGCGAAGGAAGATGACACTTCGTTCAGGTGAGCGTAGAGAAGACAAGGGTGATGAAGATTCCCAGTCAACAATAGCAACAACAATAAACACCAATCACCATGAACGGGAGAAATGTATAGGAAGTTGACTCTCACACTGACCTACCTACCTACCTACCTACCTACCTACCCATCCACCTAGTCAGCATCGTTCCAACTACAGGCGATGGCAGTGGCACCGATGACGATGTCAATACCAGGATCGGAAAGACAGTAAGACAGGCCATCCTTCATCAGTCTGAAATCAGTGTGGAGATCAACTGCACTGCACTGCACTGCACTGCACTGCACTGCATTGCATTGCACTCAGAATAGAGCGTGAACGAGGTGTGGATTTCCAACAGTAATTCAGTCAAGTGAAGCAGTGCTTCTATGGGATGTTTGAGAGACTTGGCGTGTTACGTAAAGCATATGCAACAGACTGTAAACAAATATCACCAATAGCTGCCGTCTACGCTCACTCGATACTGAAGATCAGATCACAGGGTGGAATTAATAAGAGTAAGCAGCAGTGAAACTCTGACTGTCAACGAACCAACCAACCAACCAACCGATAACCTATTCATTGCCCAACCAATATGCAGAATGAAGAGGAGATGGATTGTATTGGACATAGAGTGAGGAGATTGATTGTGGACATCACACGGTAGGCCGTGTCATTGAGTCGAGCCGATATGGGAAACGATGAGTTGGGTGTGCGAGGGTGACATGGAGGAGATGGTGTGAGGGAGAAATGAAAGGTTGTTGGGAGTTATTGAAGTAGGATGAAGAGAATGAGTGGATAGAAGAGAGTGAGATGGCGATATGCTTGTGAATCCATATGTTCCACTAGGAATCCAGGTGACAAATGTTAATAATGACGATGAGATGGTGCACAGTTTACTAACTTTCACAACGGTGTAGAAAGAAGAAATACTAACTGTTTTGAATCTTCAATGTTATTTCATAATAGATGTATGCCGAAAACACTAAGCATTTGCATGATACCATTATACGGAGTAGAGATTTGTAATGCAATGGGATTATTCTTATGCATTGTGTATAATGAAAGTCGTAACCACCTAAATGGAATTATTAGGCACTAAGGTTCCATATCACGAAGGGTTAGAAAAAACTCGGGATCATGGAGAATATATATTTAGTGCAGGAGGTAGATTTTGATACTGTTGTGTTCTGCTACGTGGATGGTTTTTTTGTCATCCTAGACAGCAGTATCACGACGAACTTCAGAAACTTCTTTCAAACGTGGACTATTAGACACTAAGGTTCATTGTTCAGATGTGTATAATAAAATTACTTTAAATCAATAATATCAACATTCTGTAGTTGTATTTAGAGTAAGAAACAAAAGAAATCAATGCAGAACTTCGATTACAAGTTCATTGGTTCAACTTGCCACGCTTCACACTAGTACGGAAAGAACAGCTGATTAGAAAAAAGAGTGATATCCGAGTAGATATAATTATGCGAGACAATAGACATTGTGAAGATAATGGTTAGTGTAAATATTCAAGCTTTAGAAGATGTCAAAGAGTGAAAACATATGCACCACTGTAACCGATTTTTAGCACCTTCATTGAAAGTTCTCTACCAATGAATCCTTTCGTCTCAGGGACTTCGACCAGTTAGTCCATACCTCACTAACTGGTTCAGACCAACAGTTGGGAGGTGTATCGACTTGTTCTTTATCGTCATCTGGTTATCTTGAACACTGCCAACTAAAGCTAACTACCTCCAGTAATGCATTTCGAGGAAGATAGTAGCTTGGGATGCGCACTATATGTTAAAGTCATCTTAGTCGATCTAAGTTCACAACCTCACTAATCCACTCGCTTGTCTTTCCCAGAACCTTTCGCCTGACCTCAGCATTGCTTACATGGTGGTTCCACCAAACGCGAACAATGCTATGAAGACACTTTTGATCAAAACCATGTAACCGCTTCACATCCTCTACTTTTAACGTCCATATCTTACAGTCGTACAAAAGGACAGAACGAAATGCAGTGCAGTGTGCTCGTTTTTTGATCGACATTTGGAAATCTCGCCAGTCAGTGCCACAAATGACACGAGTTAGCGAATGCCAAACGGGTGTTCTGTATCCCATCTGATATTTCATCAGCAACTACCCTGTTCGGGTTAGTAAAACTCCCGAAGTAAGTGAAATGGTTAACACACTCAACAACTTTACTCTCCATCGATTAACTGGAAGTACTTGCACTTCAGTCCTGGAGCGTCGTCTTACACTTAACAAGTGCAAAATGCATGGCGAATATACTCTGATTTCGGCTCGTTAGTTGAATGGGAAAAAAAGTACATTTCAGTCTGAATCGACTACGATACGTAGGATAAATGTTGAACTTGTACAGTCATTGTACACTTTAACATAGTTTGTTATCCAGAATAAGTATATACTCGAAGATACCAACTGTGACTATGTAAGAAAATAGATATAGAGCTCACTAACTCCTGGAGGAAAATTTTGCTCAAGAAAGTAAAAAGAGGGTGCTAAACGTATAAAATCATCTCAACCGGACTCGAAACATGAGAATACACTAGTTCAAACAAATGGTTTAAAGCATTTCATTTTAAAGACTAGAAAAATAATCTACATTCATTGTCTTACCTCCACATTGAAATGATGTTGATGCAATAGTTCAATAGCAGCACGTAAACTTTCCACTTCTTTTTTACCAAGTAAATATTTACAGTCTGTAGATAAATCTCCACCACTATTTGATGATGAAGATATATTTGACGGTTGACCTAATAGAATATGTAGCATTTCTTTACGTCCAGCTACATGCCAGTTACGTGTGGTTGTAGATTGTTCAATACTACTGTCAGTCTTATGATTATCACATGTTTGTACAATTGAGTTGTTAATTCTACCGTTTACAGGAGTATCATTATGATTGATGACTTTGTTTGTTTTTAAATTGATAAGATTTTGTTCTGAATAATTTTCAAGGGGGATATCATCAGTTGGATTAGAGATAATAATATCATGATCATCAGTACTATTATCATCACTAACATCATTATTATGTTTACTTTTCCGTTTATGTGAACTATGACGATGTTTATAATGTCGTGGACGTTTTTCACGTTTATAACGAATTAAACTGGACAACATTCGACCATCGATACGACGAACTGAGAATAAATGGATTAAGTGTACTAGACCCAGATGATGCTTTAACCAGACATCACAGATCCAATGGTAGTTTATATGACTAGCACCAGGATGACGGGATAAACCAGGTGGTCCATGGATTCGTAAATCTTCTAAGGCTGAAAAAAACTTTCTCCGTAATCCTTCATCACTAAATAATAATTTTTTTTTAAAACAGAAAGAAGAAATTAATGATTTGAAGGTTTAAAATGTGTGTTTGAGGAATATTGTTTGATCAAGGCATTAGGGATGTTACAATAATATAGAAAGATGAACTAGGTAGTTTGGTTGTACTTTAGCCTCTGTATACTTGCAAAAAGACTTACTAAATATTATTTGATACTGGGGGATGATTGGAGGTAAAATGAAAATTCGGACCTCAGTCGGACTTAAACCAGCGACCGCTGGGGTTCCGGCCCGATGCTCTGCTAGTTGAGCTATGACTTCACATAGCAGTCCGAGGAAACTCACAGTGATTGAAGTGGAAAAAAATTGGATCGACAGTCAGACCTTATAGTTCAGGCTGGAATTTCAGTGGTCGCTGGTTCGAACGCGGCCACGGTCAAGATTTCCATTTCACCTTCAAACCACCTAGTATAAATACTGGTCTGAGCTCCCTAGCTTGGTTGCCACATTGCAAATATGATCGACAGGATTCGGTCCGCACTCGGGGCTAGACAACATTAAATTGGTTGCACTCCCATGACCAATCAATACATGTAAGCCAGTCCTACAAGAGGTCAATCGCGGCCCAGAATAGCTCAGTGGTAAAGACGCTGACTACAACACGGGGTGACGCGGGTTCGTATCTCAGGTGGGACATCGGTTCCGTCGAGGTTGCAGATACACCTTGCTGACGAGTGCCAAGCCACACGAAACCTAGGTCCAGGTATTCCTGTCGATTGCCTCCAACCAACTAACATTTACTAGTCTGTCAAACCATGACTATCTCAAATAGCGGTGAAAATTATAAATATTATATATCAAAGAATATTATCACTCTTTAGTGTTACTTTTCATCGACAGTAATCAATATAAATCAGATCACCGTGAATAACGTCTAACTTCTGCTGTTCAGTAGTGTACTTCTATAGTTGATGATACTTTTCTACCAGAAACCAAACCATTTGATCTAACCGAATGGTTTCTAAAGAAAACTCTGCTAGTATCATGGATAATGACTGCATACATTATTAATGCAAATATTTCCCAAGAAAATATAGATAAATTTATGAAGAATCAATTAATTTCAAAGGTGTTTTCATCGCAGAGGAAGAACAGTCAAGAAACCATTGGAAGTAGCTGTCTTATGCACTCACAGGGTCCTTCGAAACGTTTTTTCGTTGAAATCAATCTGTGATGAAAAACCTTAAGGGAAGTAAGCATAATTGATGAAACATCTGAATAATGGATATTTATTTTATATCAATGAATTGAATTTTAAGCCCTTGTTCTCCCAATACCCTTACAACCAGCATTATTTCTCGTTTAGGAAACCGATAATAATTGAATTTCAATTTTGGATAAAATGGGAACATGTTTGATAAGAAGCTACATAAATCAAAATTTTAAATCAAACGCTAAGGTGGGCTAAAATTTTAGATTTCAACCTTTTTTTATATCACTATGTGGTCAGGAAAAATCTTATTGAACACTTTTATCTTTCAGTTGACCAAACAAAATAAGTATCCAACTTCTGACCTAGTGGTTTTATATGCTGTTGAAAACTGTAAATAAATGGTGAGTCTTCCTTACAGTCACAACTCGGTGTTCGTCTTCACTGAAGTACAAGGTTCTGACGCACAACAGTCGCTATTCCTGTTCAATCTAAGTGCCGCACTGTTTTATTGCTATTCGCATTGTATTATTATAATTCCCCACTCGATGACTTCACTGTTAAATTGCTTTCAAAACAGTATAAAGAGAAGAAAATGAATTGATCCAGTCTGGATCAATTTCCTTTGAAAAAAACTGTATTAATCTGAATAAGCAAACTATGTATTAACATTGTCACAATTAATATTTGCTATCTTAAGCAATTCGCTTACTCTACTACAAAAAAGTGTTTAGGCTTAAAACAACAAAAGGAGTTAACATTGAAAGTGGTCTGCCAGACTAAATTCATATTTTCATGACAAAAAATAGGAAAAACGTTTGTTAAATCATCACTCTTCGTATGGTTATAAGCGATATGACACAACAGTCACAATGTATGTAAATGGCTATAATGAATCTTATCAAGTATCACTTTTGTAAAATGATGGAAATCAAGAAAATGAAATTTGCAATGAGAACAAGGGTTGTGGTAGGGTTCGAACCAATGACCCAGGTTTTTCATTTCACTTTCAATCGTCACTCAGTATAAAATGATTCAATTCTATCAAGCCACGACGATATCTGATAATCTAACTAACGATCTATACCTGTTCACCCTTTCTTATTCAATTCAATTTGGATTTGGACAATAAGTCCTGGTTGGGCAGCCAGCGTGATTGCACTGAACGGACTGTGACATAATATGAATTAACATGGCAGCTGGGCGAAATTCTCACCGACTAAAGTGAAGTTGAAATCTGGTCAGCAATTGATAGCCATCTTGGTAGTTTGGGTGGTAGAATACTGGATCGGTGATGGTAAGGCTGTTGGTTTGAAACCCAACGTCAATCAATCTTCCATCTGCAGTAATCACCAAATATCTAAACAAGTTCACACTTGTCAACGCAGCTCAATGATATCTCATTTGTAATAGATAGGAAAGACTTTTGTCGTGTTAAATTGGAGCATTATTCTAGGCAGAAAATTGCATCCAGAACAAGATGATTAGAAAACTCTTATGCTAGGCTGGTCATCCTAGGATTTTAGCAGTTTTAAAAACACCTTTTCCCGACAGCTATCGACAAATTTATTTCGAGTAAGTTTCAAATAGATTTCTCTCCAGAAAACAACTATTAGTACTATTTATGGACATCTAGATCGAATTAGTTGGTCTATGTATATTGGCTGCTTAAACAGATGCCTCAGGACTGTTTTAAGTTTCATTCTGGTAGTGTTAAGTTGTGAAGGCTAGCAATGAAATTTTAAGATCTGCGACTTGTTAGTTAGATGTATCTGAAAGAAACTTTGAAGTTTGAAGCAGTGTGTCTTTAGTTTTAGTGTAAATGGAAACACTATTATTTGCGCAGATACATGCATATCTAGTTGACAATTTTAATATGAGACGAAACTCATATCCTGTTTCCTCCTACTGGCCACCACCAAAAAAAATGTTAGAATGTTAATGCCTAAGATCATGCAAATAAATGTTTCCATGGAAACGTTATTAGTATGCCTATAAAAGTCCAGAAGTTTTCCTTTGTTTTTGAGTGAACATGGCTATTTTTAATATATAACAGGACATATACTTTGAGCTATTCATTCCTCCTTTAAAGCGTTGTGATTCATTTTATTAACCTTCTTGTAAAACTTGTGTAATGCACTAATAAAGTCGTCAGACTGTTGCCCAGTGTATTCAAATCAAACTTGATGGTAGACACTTTGGCATCAACACTACATTAACAGATACTTATATTTTAAGGTATTATTCATCACAGACTGACATCAGTTGGAGAATCACTGAAAATCTGGAGGCACTGGATATTTGTTTCGACCAGTATGTAACTCCTCTTCAGTACTCATCCACGAACCCATCCCGTCAAGGGTTTACCTGAGAACCTTCAGGTTTCATGTCAAATGCATTGGTCATCCAGTCACTGGGTTGGAATTCAATGGTTCATAGTTTGCTACTTTTATCAATTAGTAATATATCGTGACTATTCACCAAGTTCTTTAGTTAACATCCAATTCACTTCCGATGGGTTGACGCCACAGACCGCAGCTTGGGGTTGGAACATCGAGATATCCATCTGCTGAGGAGCCTTATATTAGGATGAAACAACTATCTAGTGCTAGCAGATGTTTTCGATGGTTCTCCGACTGATGTCAGTCCGTCATTAATACCACCTCGAAATACTCATATTCTTAAGATCACTCAGTATTCTAAACCTAAAATTTAGGTTTTCGAATTCAACTAGTTTGGAATTAAGAGAAAACTTTTAAAAAAAATTCAACTGAATAGTTCACAATCACAGTTAACCTTCAAATGTCAGTAGAATTGAAATAAAGTACATGATATAGCGATACAAATAATGAACACGCCTACATACAAAAATTCACATCTGTGAACAAACGTTTGTTTTTCGTTACTGGAAAGCTAAGGTGTTCTATTTCACTAACACACATTGAAATACTAGACCGTAATGACTGTCTTGTATCAATACGCGTTGATTCTATGCCAGTGATTTTAACAGCAAAAACGGCGAAGAATTAACCAAAGAAGTGATCGAATATTTTTATATTCTGCAATCATTTAGGCAACAGTAAAAATTGAAATACCATGTTATGATTATTTATCATTTTTTATAGTGTATCTTAAAATAATTATTGATCAATTCATTTTAGAAGTTTGTGAGGATTTACTTATTGATTTCAGGTTGGTATTTATCATGGACTGACGTCATTTAGAGAACTATTGGAAATTTGAGAGAACTGGATAACTGTTTCATCAAAGCTTGAAACTCCTCGGCAGTACATACTGATATCAGTCCGTGATGAATACCAACCCTGAAATCAATAAATATATCTTAACGAGGCTCTAAAATGAAATAATCTCCAGTGCACATCGGTGACACTGTTCGAGAGGTGATTCCTGTAGTTCCAATGAGAAGTCATGGTCGGTGGGGTCAACCAAGCCGGATATGATGACAGTTATTTAACGACTGCATTCGATGGAAGTAGTGCTATATCATGAACTGACGAAATTAGGATATATTGATCATTGGTTTCTGGCCTAACGGGTCAATGGTGACGTGCTGGCCATGGAACCTTTAGGCCTTGGGTTCGATCTCTGGTGATTTGGGGTTGTGGGTGCACACTGCCAAGGGGTCCCATACTAGGAAGAAACAGCTGTACAGTGCATATAGGCCTCCAATGGCGCTCCAATTGATGTCAGTCTATGATGAATATCAACCTGGAATTGTTGATTAGTTTATGCAAAACAAGGAACTAAGAACCAGTCTTTTCGTCCAGTCATAAGTTGTCACTTTATCAAAAACG